TAGATGAACATCTAATATTGCGGTAGAAAAGTTTTTCATTGTGGGTGAATTGAGTATTTTGTAGTTTTCTTTGGGCACATGCTTTGTGTCGTTGTAGTCGGTGTGCTACAAGTGACAGTTTTTGTTTAAGAGTGTCTAATGTGTGAAATGCTTGTGTATTTGGTTCTTCCTAAGCAGTGTGGATCCTATATTGTTCTCGTATCTTGTTAACGTGTTTAATTATTTTTCTACTTTTATTGCCATTGATGAATTGTGTCATTTGTGCTGTCTTTGATCGTAAATCATTTAATTTTCTTCTAATCGTGTCTTCCAGTTAGGTTTATATTCTTTTTTTGCCCTTCGGGTGACTTCTCTTGGTTGAAGGACTATCTTTGCTCCTTTAACTTTCGCCGTGGTCCATGCCACATAATATATAGTAGTCTGTAAGGTATAGAAGTCAGTTTCTTTATTAATGTTTTCAGGTAAAATTATTTTGTTTAGGTAGGTAACTATACGGGCAAGTGTTTTAGAAGGTTTTTGTTTGGGAATAAAAAATATTTTTGGAGGGCTACTTTCTTTATAATATTGTAATGCTTGTTGAAACACCCCATTTATTAGTGGATCCCTATTTAGTTTAACTTGTGGGTTAGGTAGCATTTCTTCTGCAATGTTGATTTCAGTATGATTTAAAGTAAGTGAAGGTTCTTGTGTGGAGCTGATGTCGATGCTGTTTATAAATTGAGTTTCATAATTACTGTTGTTGGTTTGGGTTTACTAGCGTCGCTTGTGTAGTTGGTAAAGTTAAGATTATGTAATCGTAATTCTTCAGATACTTCTAGTTTTAATGAATTTAATCTGTCACTGGTGACGTAATTATTGTTTACAATTGTTCTCCTCTGATCAGCTATTCGTTGTTCGTTAAGATGAGCAATTACAGAAAATCTGTTAATAAAATCTTCATACATACTCTTTGTACACGCCCTGAGCTGCCCCAACCAAGGTATACTGGACTAGGGCCCATCAGTAGCCCAATCGACGAGCAGCAGAGGACGGGGCTCAAAATTCCTATAGACAATTGACCTACGATAGAGATAAGGCTAGGTAAATAAATAGTACATACCTGTTCAGAGGAGAAGACTGCACACAAGGCTCAGTCAGGCGGTAGGTGTAATGTATGTAAATGGTGTTTAGTGGTGTGTTTATATATGTGGCCTCACCCAGCTGAGGTGATCGGGCAGCGGCCTGATCCGATGCTGCTCCACAATGTAATTCACTCCAGCGGACGTCACCAATTGGCAACTTCTTTCTTCCATTCACTATGTCAGTCTATCAACTTTATTGTACATTTAACTAACTTTAACTCTTAATCGACCCGGCGTCTAATTTTCTAGACTCCACAACTCCTCGTCGTTGCATAAATTTGCTACCAAAGTCTACACAATCAGAGGTTATTATGTACGTGACCACGCGGTCCGAGTAGATTCACTGCAATACTTTACAATTGGTGCAATTACTTTTAAACGAAATTACTTTAATCAGTCAAATACAATACAAGCCTCTTGTCACGAACTTACAACTTAGACAAACTAATCCGAGGCGGTCTTCATGAAACCACAAATTAAGTAGCGAAGTAACGCGCACAAATACTAAAAATCTAGACCATAAAACCAAAACTGGTCGCACGAAATCGCTACCGCGGTTACCACAAAATACGTTAACGTTACGATGGCGCCGCTGCACTCAAGCTACTGTCGTCTTAGCCCAGCGCCGGAATCACCGGAGCCGGCACACTGCCGCCTCCCTCCCCCCCGGCGGCGTTTACCCCACCTCGACACCATCGGGTGATGCACCAAGTCGAACGCGATTGGATGGCGTCTCAAATGTCTATATTTGGCCAAAACACTCTTCCATAATATACTGTTTTGTTTCTGCCTAAATCTGTAACTGATTATAATAACGCATTATAGCTTAATTTAGTTCACTAGTCCATCTCATTCGGGTCTGCGTTCTATTTTTAGGACTATGTGTTTCTGGGGTTCTAGGTTGCACTTGGGTAGATTTTGTGGGTGTAAGTATTTTTGTATATGGTCGATAGTTTTGTGATTGTTAGGTCGAATGGTTAAACTGTAGACGATCAAACTCTTCTTTTACGTCGTTTCTTATCTCCTCTATAGTTTTTTGTGGTAGTAGTTTATTGTTTATTAACGCTCTACGTTGGTCTCCTATTCTCTGTCGACTAACCTGCATGTTTGGCAATTTTTTTTATAAATTTTATGTGGAGTGGTTCAAGATAAGTTTTTCTGTCTGTATCTAATGCAGTCACTTGAAGGTAAGTGCGCAGTATGAACTGATTCATTTCAGGTGTCCATCGTCTGCGCGTACTTCGTGCGCTTGTAGTGGGTGCAAGCTCAGAGTCAAGGTTGACTTCCTGCACAACACTATCAATTGTGCTGGTGGTGGACAAGCTAATTGTTTTTCTTGTCATGTAGGAGGGGCGAGTCGAAGGGATTGATGAAATAAGTAATAGTAAGTATCATCGCCCGTGGAATCGGCTGTGGCTTCTACGTAGTGAGCCTGCCTGTTCAACTCGCTACGACCAGCGGTAACAGTTTTGTCGGTGGGAGCCCGCTTGCTCAACTCCTCACCACCGATGGTTCGCATGCTGTGGCACCTAGCATCGGCTCCAGATGCGCCCCGGCGCTCCCCGGGCAGCGACCGTAAATTATACACGCTCTTATTACTCATCTCCATAAAGGTTTACCTTTCCTTGTTAGCCGCGTAAGTTTTTGTACTGTTGTACAGTACGCGTGTTCGCCCATCACGTAACTAGGTGTTTAGCTTGGACGTAATGTAGGATTTTAGAGGGACTTATTATTATTATTCTCTTCTATTCTGTTCTACTCTATTATATTCTGTTTTTCTACACTAAAACATAGAATAGAACAGCTATTCTGTTCTATTCTATTCTATTTTTATACTACTGACTAGTGACAGCGGGCAGAATTGTTCAGTCTATTAGGTAACTATAGACAAACAAACTATGAACTTAAATAATTCAACTAATTCAACTCATCTAAGATTTTGTATAATTTACACAGAAATTATATATAAAAATATTTTCTACATCCGTAGCTGCAGCTAAAATCTATCATAATTCATCTTGACAGCTTGAAAATTAAACTCTACTCCTGCTGTATACTAGGCGTCTGCAATACTATTAAAATCGTGCTCGGTAGACTGGTGAAATACGTTTTTCAACAAATTAACAACGAATTTACAGACGATGCTAAAGAATGACATTTACGTTTTTACAAATATTTGCTTTTCTATTAAGTTTCTCTTAATAGTTTGAAACTAAAATAGCCTAAAACTTGAAGAGGGAAGGATTAATGGTGTATTAATACAACGAATTAATGAATATATAGAACTAAAACCTCTCAACGCTTAGTTGCGTTAGAATTTTAAAAAAAAACATGTGTTAAGAGCTTAATTGATAACTTTGACCTTTTTCCTAACCTACTCGTATATACTCCTCTTTATTAAATTATTTAAATTTACAAAACTTTTTGAGATTAATTTGAGCATGTTGTACGAGGTAAACGCTGTATTAAAATATCTATCGTATTTGCATTATTCATAATTCAAATAATAAATGTGACTACAAGGACTATGAAATATTAAAATGAATATAGATGCGTATAGATAGCTGTTTTTGTCTGATTGTTACTGTCTATTTCTATCTGCAAACACGTGAGAACATAATTTTCAACGTTCATTAAACATTCAAAACGCGTATTCAATCATTACAGCCTGTCAAAAATTCACTGCTAAACATAAGCTTCTACCAAGGCAATCTAATTCTAATGTCGGCCGACAAATATTGGTATGTCCTTATAAAATACCTACGACACCGAAATTTCACGAACTAGTAACGGTGAACAGCGTTACTACAGTATCGATCCCGAACTCGTTTAACAAACCCCCAGCCTAGCTTGGTTATGTATGTCATATGAGCAAATTTTTCAACTTATGTATGTCACTAGGTGAATTTTTGAAGTTTTTGCTAACAGTGTATTAATAAAGGTTATTGCAGAACAAGAAGTATTTCTATTTTTTACAATCTTTTTTTTTATATTATTCACTTAGATACTTATTACTATATCTTCAGTCTGTTAGTATCCATTCAAGTTTTTATATTTGAATATAGGTCGTCTAATCAAGAGTCTAGACGAATTGAATCGCCTCCTCGCCTCCGTCCTCGAATCTCGTGAATTTTAAAGTGAAATAAACTTTTATGTTTGATATTGTAAGAAAGTTAAAGTAAAAAGCTAAATTTTAAAAAGAAACGTTCTGATGTATTATGTTTTTAAATATTCAAAGTAATTTGTTTTGAAGTCTGAAATGAAAATTACGAATCATTGCTTGGGTTGCTATAGGCTAATGAAGGTAAAGGTTAAGCCGTAATTACTAAGCCAAAGTTTCAAAGACTTTCGAACCACCCTCCTAGCCAACAAAGTTATCAGCCACCCTACCTAAACTTCCCAACTTACTTAGAACTATACTTATATGAGCTAAGGCCTTGATTGTTTGTCTCTATGTCTTCCTAAAATAAATGAATAAATAATGACATAATATTTATATTTCCAGAAGTATACAGGCAAATAAATAGGCTCTCACTTTACCTAATCTATCTATTTCAGTGTAACGCTTAGAAAGCTTGAATTGAGTGTCGGAGATACGGGCACATCCAATCTAGACCCAAAATCAAATAAATGAAAAATATTTTTTTCAATTATTTGATTTTGGGTGTCGTTATTTAAGTAATAATGATTTTATTAATTACAACATTTCATTCAAGTTCAGGCATATGGTTAACTAAAAGAGCATAAAGTAAGAGTAAAAAGTTTGATCAATACCTGTCTCTTGGTAACGCGCTGTAATATAAAAAAGATTGTTCCTTTATGGAAGCAGTAATTTTATTCTTTCATTTAACTTTTATTTGGAAATCAAGTGCTAATTAAATGGAAAATACGGGACAAGGAAAAACTGCTGCGGGTGGACGTCGAGAGCCATCAATAGATCCTGTAAAAGCTCAAGGAATTCTGTAAATATTTAATATTTTTTTGTGTCTGTAATACTGACGATAAGTCGTTACTTAAAATAGCGCTAATAATAGGCTAGTAAAAAAATACCAGCCTATTATTAGCCAGTGTTTGGTTACTTTTCCATTTGAAGGTAAGTAGTAGATTTGCCGAATGTATGTAAGAATAAAGTGCACTGACTTAGCTTAACAAAAGCCAATTTTTTTAAAGAGTAGCTGATATCCGCGACTTCGTCCGCGTTGCTTGATATATTAACAAAATTTTCGTATATGCGAAGGAAAAAACATCAAAAAGGCAAAATTCTTTGTAAACAACGTTATTCATCATCATCATTACAGCCCTTCACAAGTCCACTGCTGAACATAGGCCTCCCCCAAAGAATGCCACAAAGCACGGTCCCGAGCCACCTGCATCCATCGACTTCCTGCAAATCTTACCAGGTCGTCACTCCATCTAGTGGGGGGACGCCCTACACTTCGCCTGCCGGTACGAGGCTGCCACTCGAGAACCTTTCTTCCCCATCGGTTGTCGGTTCTTCGAGCTATATGGCCGGCCCATTGCCACTTCAGCTTACTAATCCGTTGGGCTATGTCGGTCACTCTGGTTCTACTGCGGATATCCTCATTTCTGAGTTTATCACGCAGAGAAACTCCGAGCATAGCCCTCTCCATAGCTCGCTGAGCGAACTTGAGCTTCCTCATCCGGCCAGCAGTGAAGGACCACGTCTCAGTTCCGTATGTCATCACTGGCAACACGCACTGGGTGTACAGTCTCGTTTTCAAGTTTTGAGGTATACCTGACGAGAAGATGTGTCGTAATTTCCCGAACGCTGCCCAACCGAGTTGAATCCGTCGATTGACCTCTCGGTCGAAGTTGGACTTACCTAGTCGGACTATTTGTCCCAGGTAAACATACTCGTCAACAACTTCGAGCTTAGTGTTCCCAACAACTACCGGCATAGGTGTGACATGGACATTAAACATGATCTTTGTTTTGTCCATGTTCATCTTAAGACCTATCCGTTGGGAAACACTATTGAGGTCATTGAGCATAGTGCTTAGGTCCTCCAGCGATTCTGCCATAAGGACTATATCGTCGGCAAATCGAAGGTGAGTGATGTACTCGCCATTGATGTTGATACCGTATCCTTTCCAGTCCAGAAGCTTGAAAACATCTTCCAATGCAGCGGTGAAGAGTTTCGGGGATATGACGTCACCCTGTCTTACACCTCTCTGCAATTGGATAGGTTTCGTCTTCTGGTTCTGTACTCGGATAGCCATCGTAGCCCTACTGTACAAGCACTTCAACACTTCGATATACCGACAGTCAACTTGGCATCGCTGAAGGGACTGCAGCACCGCCCAAATTTCGACGGAATCAAAGGCTTTCTCATAGTCCACATACGCCAGACATAGTGGCAAATTGTACTCCTCGGACTTCTGTACAATTTGCCGAAGGGTATGTATGTGGTCTATGGTGCTAAAGCCTTTTCGGAAACCGGCTTGTTCGGGAGGCTGGAAGTCGTCAAGTCTGCGCGCGAGACGATTCGTAATGACTCTCGAAAACAGCACGTAGACGCGGCTCAGAAGGGAAATCGGTCTGTAGTTCTTCAAGAGAGCGTTGTCGCCTTTCTTGAAGAACAAGACCACCGCACTTCTGCTCCACGCCTCCGGTGTAATGCCACCATCGAGGACGGAATTAAAGAGCTTCTGAAGGACTTCAAGTACCGGTTTTCCACCCGCTTTCAGAAGCTCCGCTGTAATTCCATCCTGGCCTGGGGCCTTGCCGTTTTTAAGGTGCTGGAGAGCCATTCTAATCTCGCTCAGACTGACGTCCGGGATATCATCGGAATAATGTCGGATAAGACTCGCTCTTGGATCGTTACTCACACTTGCGTGTGGCTCCAACGATGACGTGTACAGCTGCCCATAGAACCTCTCAATCTCACTCAAAATCTCAGGTGCCCCGGAAACGATGCTGCCACATTCGGTCTTCAGCTTTGACAGTTGGCTCTTTCTGGCAGACAGATCTCTGGCAAAGACTTTGGAGCCTTGGTTCCGCTCGATTGCTTCTTCAATACGAGCTGTATTGAAGTTGCGTAAGTCCCGCCGCATGCATTTGGAGATCTGTCTGTTCAGTTGCCTGTATGCTGTCAAATCTGTTGAAGAATGTAGCTTCATCTCCCGTCTAACAGCCATGAGATTAAGAGTGTGATCGGAGAGTTTTTGTGTTCTTCTGCGGCGGGTCTTGCAGAACTTAGCTCCGACCGCATGGACAGTTTCCACGAGCTTTTCATTCAAATCGTCCACTTCATTGCAGTCTTCTAAGCACTGAAAACGGTTTTGCAACTCGAGCTGAAAGGTTTCGGGACTTTGGATTAGAGCACGAGGGGGACGGAGCGTTGACTTCATTAGACGAGACCTCTCCAACTTAACGTTTAGGTTCAGTGTGCCTCTAACCATTCGGTGATCGCTGCCGGTTTTCACCCTCGCGATCACTGAGACATCACTGAACAGTTGTCGTCTGGTCGTCATAATAAAGTCAATCTCATTTTTTGTCGAACCGTCGGGGCTCGACCAGGTCCACTTCCTGTGGGGCCGCTTCTGGAAGAAAGAGTTCATCATAAAGAGTCCCTCTTTCTCCATGAAGTCGGCCAACTGCTGGCCCCTTGGGTTCCGTTGCCCTATTCCAAATTTCCCCACTTTCAGCTCACCGTTCTTTCTTGTGCCTAGTTTTGCATTGAAGTCTCCCATTAACACCGTATATTGGGTTTTGGAGGAATGCATGGCTCTAGAGATATCCTCATACATTTCCTCCACCTCCTGATCGGGGTGTGCCGAGGTTGGTGCGTAAACCTGTATGACCTTCAGCGAATACCGTTTGGTGATTCTGAGTATAAGGTACGCAACCCTCGTCGACACACTCTCAATCTTTACAACGTTGTTAACGAGAGACTTGTGGACGATAAATCCGACACCTCCTTGGGACAGATGGTCGCCCTCCCGGTGATAGAGCAAGTTGCCGGATTCGAGGATTACCGTGTCCTCCCCCTCTCTTCGGACTTCGGATAATCCTATAATATGCCAGCGTAACTTGTCTATCTCTTCTTCCAGCTCCACAATCTTCTCGTCAGTCCTCAGGGTGCGTGCGTTGTATGTTGCCAGGTCGAGTCGTTGTAGGTGGCAACCGAACCTCCACCGGAGATTCTTAGCACCCCCTGCCCCGCCGTTACCATGGTCGCCACCGTAGCCAGGAATAGCGGGGCCGCCGGGGACTGGGGGCCGTCTCTTCGTAACTTTCATTATGGGGGGTATATTGCCATAGTTGCCACGCTTGGCGAGCGGGTTGGCAACCGCAGTTTTTTATTGTATTTTGTCGTTACCAGGAAGATGCTGCTGCCCATCCCCTGCCTGTTTCCCTTTGTCGCCTTTTACGACACCCACGGGAAGATATGGGGTAGTGGATATTCTTAACCGCCACTACACGGCACGTTATTGGTTGCTCCGTTTATAGCTAAAATATATAAATTATCTGGGTTAGTAACACGATAGCAAGCGACGACGTAAAGTTCACTGTGTGAAAAACCTCATATAAAAATCGTTGTTTCTTAAAACTTTAATAACTTTATATTAAATGACGATATAATTTTTTTTTAGATAAGGACCAAGTGTCTAAAAAATAAAACTTACCTAATTGAAATCTATCCAGTAGTTTTTTTTCCGTGATGCGTACACAACTGCAAACTTCAATCATTTTATTTATTTAGATATACGATGACCATCAAACTACGTTATATATAAAAGCTTTTAGAAAAATTTACTTCGCAAATATCCGCGTTATAAAATAAAATGATGTGTCCTACCTAGTATGAAGAGCACCTCCCGTCCTCCCTCAATTGCGTGCACTATAATTTTTGCATATTATAATTTTTTCTTAAAAAAAGGAATAGAGGAAAGGAATAAAAGGAGGGCAGTTTGGTAGATATATGTAATATAATATGTTCGAATTAAAAAATATATATTATAAGTATCATATGTATAAAAACGTTTAATTTATTTTCATACTGTAAAAAATTATTAAATACTTATTTTTTATTTCGTAACTTTTTCGTAAGGAGTTCCAATCTAACCTAATCTAAATGACAGGACCACAGTATAAATCCATACAGTCGACCGACGAAGACGTCTAGACAGGGCAATCGTGCGGAGTGTGAGGGGTGAGACGCGGGAAGGACGAGCCCGAGCTGCTCATGCCAATCGTATTAGTAGCTCGGGACACGACTTCAAGGGTTAACGCGCGTTTGCTTTTATAATTTTTAAATTTAGTGTTGATACTTACATTTAAAATGTTCACACGACGTGTGCTGTGAGAGATTGCAAGTCGTCATCTCGCATAAATAAAGATCTGTGATTTCACCAAGTCCCGCACACGGAAGTAAGCTAAATAAATATTGTTATTATTTTTTACATTATGTTTATTTTGTCATGTCATGCCAAATTGCCAACGTAAAAAATGGCGGACGTAAAAAATAGGTACCAGTTGCTGGGCATTACCTACTGTTTCGAAGTTTGCTTTTTTTCTTTATCTAAATCGTGTGGTTGGACAGGCTAAGGGTTTAGACCATACTATAGTGCCTCGTCTTCGGTTTTTCGAAGTTTTTTATAAAATATTTAGATTTAGGGGTCAATTTTTAGGTTTGTCGGGGTGCTAATTACGAAAATAGCATTTATTTTTAAATCCAAGATGGCGGTAATTTTTTAATATATGTATGATATGGATGTCAATTTCAAGGTTTATTGGGGTGATGATTAGGAAAATGGCATCCATTTTTATATCCAAGATGGCTGCCATTTATTTTTTATATTAGTAATTAAATTAATTTAATACTGTTGATGACGCAGTTGAGGTGCGCAATTGAGGGATACGTGGCTTAAGTTGAACATGAGTTTGGAAAGAGAGTTGGCGTAACAAACCCATGCTTGTTCCAAGGCAGTATTGCCTCCTATTAAACATGGGAATGGTAATACGCTACCCGAGACAGCATTGCTGTTGTGTTAGATATCGTGAGAACCGGAGATCTCTATTACTTGTAATCCCGTAAAAAAAAAAACAGCGTCAAATGTGCAAATTGTCTGGCACTGCGTTCGACAATGAAAGGCAGTTCGCATGTTCTACAGTGGGAAAGGCCCATATCCAGCAGAGTACTATGTAGCGAGCTGATAAAAAAATCGACATCGTTTTGTAATTCAATTACCATGTATACTATATTTCAATTTTTCAATGCCTGTCAAAATGTTATTATTCTGGTCAATTTCTAATTGAATACACATAGCTACACACATTAATATCTTCCAGGAATTCAGTGACTAAAAAAAGCAAGCACGCCGCGCGTTTGTGGAACAAGCGATGGGGATTTTATACTAGGATGCGGGAAATACAAGAAGAGGAAGGTCAAAAGATCGGTGAGGAATCTGGGGATAGCTGAGCATGAGATATTCTTATGTGTCTAAGAGTCCACTGCGGCAGATGGGCCTCCTCCATTGCAAGTAGGAATTGCCTTTCGGCAGGCGAATAAAAATTAAATGAAAATCCTTTATTCAATTGCAGTACACGACGCCACACACTATTCATGCTGCTCCTGGTCACTGGTCTAGGTATTTCACTTTTGTCGTGCTTGTCGCGCTTATACAGCCATCTATCGAAATCTAACATCAACTTTCTAACACTTTCCATAGTACCCTACGACACACACAAAATGAAACGGAGGATAGATTTTCATACACCGCCATGACACCGCAGAGGAAGAAATATTTTTTTTTGTTTGGGAACTGGAGTCCTTTTGAAACATGCAATAAACAAAAGTTGTTTTAGTGAATTAGTATTCAAGCTTAATTACAGTCAAGAATTCGTCTATACGTTTTATAAAACGTTTTATTATATAGTCAAGAATTCTTTATACAGAATTATACAGTTAAGAATTCTTCTATACGTTTTATTCAAGAATTCTTGACTGTAATAATTAAGCTTTAATATTAATTTTTAATACAACTTTTATATATTGCGTTTTTCAAGAGGACTCCATTTCCCAGCAAATATGATTAATTTTTACCAAGATTATAATTGATCACGATGCCATTCAATAATTTTTTTTCTACTACTAACTACTAAATTTTAGTAGCAATTTAGCATATTTTATTAACAAAACTTAATTGTATTAGTTTAGGCACAACCAAGACAACCGTCAAGTGTTCCATTATACTTAGTTTAATTAATCAATCTTCGAAAGTTAAGACGTGCTACTCGTAGTTATAGATTCAAAATGGTTGCGTAGGTACAAGTCCCTAATCAATCAATCAACGATTTAATTTGAAACATGCGACTTAAATATAATGTTTCAGTTATGTGCTACTAAACAAATAAGAGTTAGTTACTTTAAGTAGGATAATGTCATTGGGTCGAAAATGTCGTATTCTTGAAAAGAACCAGCGAGGAACACAGCGGTCTTAAAAGTAAATCATTGATAATTAACAAATCAGTGCACATAATATATATCAGCAATTTTTGCTCAGGGGATATAAGTGTTCATTTTAAATATTTTTGGTGTTCATCAAAAACTTTATAGTACGGGAGCAAAGCGAGCGTGCCTTCCCGGAGCGGTCTACAGTCTGTGAACACGTACAGGATCGCCCTGGCACTACATCAAACTTGATAGACCACAAATCCCCGCTAAAGAACATCGATTCCGTCCAAGGATGATTCGCGAGGCTATTGAAATCAAAAAACATCCTAATTTCAATAGAGAAGATGACTGTGTGCTACCTGCTGCTTGGGATCCTATAATTAATAAAATTAAATCCAAACCATACAACTACAAGACTAGAAATTCATACTGCGTAGATCGGACCAAAAATTAATAATTTTAATCTGCAGGTAGCCATGGTTAACTAAGACGTTGGGACGTCGAACACCGCAGTTCCCAACTCGTTAGCATAGGTGCTGTATAGTGTTCGAAATGTCGGGAATAATAAAATAAGTTAATATACGCAATAAAATCCGTAAAAACTACTTTTATTTAAATGTGCTTTTCGCCCAGCGGTGTTACTCGCGTCAAAATTGTAACGTTCAGACAGTCATAACCAACTCTTATTATGAGGTCGCATACCTAATACGGAGAACTCGAGCTGTCACATGAAAACTTTCTAGGCCCCGGGTTACATGTATTATAGCTTATATAACATACATAACATTAATTATGTGTAATTCACTTTGGCTTGAAGACATCCATCACATTATAATCGGATGGAAAGACATATGCTGGAAAATTATTCCACTACTTTGCTGTAATCATTACAAACGTCGAAGCAAACTATTCGAATAAGGAAGCAAAGTTCGATTGCGTGGTATGTCGACAACAAAAGGATGGAGACTGAACGAGTGTGTAGTTGTCCGATAGTGGAAGGGAGAGGGAGACTACACTCTCAGTATGCCCCTAAGCTATAAGATATATTAATCTATAGGAATGACAATAGAAGACTATAGGGCAGCCCTTCGTTCAGTGAGCTGCAAACCAGAGACAAAACTCTCGGTCACCATCGAACCCAGTCCAACTCCGCTACCGCAAACATCCTCAGGTAAGCTTATAATTATTATCAAATATTTGGTAATTTAGTTTATAATAATAATAATAATAATAATAATAATAATCTTTATTTCGGACCAAAATTAATCCATAGTAGTGTTAGTAATAATTGACTTATAAACTAGTGTTAGTAAACATTAATGTGTGGACAAACTTTTTCAAAATCGGAGAATTATAGTTCTCCGCTACTGTTTTCAAAATGCTATTGTGACTATCTCTCACCCTTCTAAGCAGCGAAGCTGTTTTCTTACGTATTATCGCATGAAAACCGTCCGTGCGAGCTTGCGCAAACATCTCCGACGCACTACAGTATCGAGGCAGTCCCAACAACATTCTGAAAGCATTATTATATTGAACACGCAGGGCATCCAGTGACCTTTTAGTGTAATTGATCCATAGACTGCTCGTATACAGACTCTGGCAGTATGCCTTAAATAGGGTAATTTTTACTAAGTCCGTACATCGAGCAAATCTACGGGCCAGCATGTTACTCCTGACCGCTAGAGCCCTGCGTTCCCTCTCAATGTCTACATTATCTTTCAGGTCATCTGCAAGAAAATGACCAAGATATTTAAAGGACGTCACTTTTTTAAGTTTTGACCCATTCAAGAACAGGTCGGGTTCATCAGTCCTAGGCTTGCCCCTGACGCCAAAGACAATGTATTCACATTTTTTGACATTATATGCCAACCCATGAGACTCAGCATAGGCTACACACACCTTCAGTAACTCTCTTACTGCCCTCACCGACGGTCCCATCAGCACCATGTCATCTGCATAGCTGATGTTGTTAATACTAACCCCACCAACACTGCATCCGACACGCTTGCTACTGAGCTCGCCTATGAGAGCATCTATATATAGGTTGAATAATCTGGGAGACGTTAGACCCCCCTGCCTTACCCCGCATTCCAACCTGTACGGTTCACTAAGAGTATCGTCCCATTTCACATGATTTATTTGTTTACTGTACCAATATTTGAGCAGACCACATATCTCTGACGGTACACCCCTGTCCTCCACCTTCCTCCAGAGCACGTCATATGAGACGAGATCAAATGCCCTGGAAAGATCAAGGAAACAGGCATATACCGGGGTACCCCGATCTACGTAATATCGAACGGTGTGCTTTAGACTTAAAATAGCACTTTCGGTTGATAGTCCTGGTCTAAACCCGAACTGTGTGTCATGCAGTTGAATGTGGTCACTTAAGATGGTATCAAGCACACCGTCCAACACCTTTGCTATGATAGTGGCTAAGGAAATAGGACGATAGTTACCCTTGTCAGAGATGTCTCCCGTCTTGTTCTTCACAATGGGAACTACTATTGTCTTCATCAGATTTGTAGGTAAGTAAGAGTGGCTAATACACATTGTGTAGAACATGGACAGGACTCGTGGCAGGTGAAATCCAGCGTGCTTCAGGTGCTCAATGCTGAGCCCGTCATGTCCTGGAGATTTACCTCGGCTCATACCTATTATGATACTGCGTATCTGTTTAGCAGAAATATGCACCTAGTTATCCTTAACATTCAACGAACAATGTTTCTTGTACCTATATTTGCATTTAGTTTTTTTTTTTATAGAAGAGGGGGCAAACGAGCATGCGGCTCACCTGATGGTAAGTGACTACCGCCGCCCATGAACAACCGCAACACCAGGGGAATTGCAGATGCGTTGCCGGCCTTTTAGAAAGGTGTAAGCTCTTTTCTTGAAGGTTCCTAAGTCGTATCGGTCCGGAAAATTTGCCGGTGGTAAAAGATTCCACAAGGAAGTTGTGCGAGGGAGAAAACTTCTTCTAAATCGCACAGTGGTGGACCGCCAATCATCCAGATGGTATGGATGGAAACGCGAGTTTTGTCGCGATGTGCGATGGTGAAACTGAGCGGCTGGAATTAGTCCGAAAAATTCCTCAGAGCACTCCCCGTGATAGATGCGATAAAATACGCAAAGAGATGCAACATCTCTACGCAGTGCCAGTGTATCGAGCCGATCAGAAAGAACTCGGTCGTCGACGATTCGAACCGCTCTGTACTGGATGCGGTTAAGTGGAAGGAGCTGGCACTGGGGTGCCCCGGCCCAGAGATGAGAACAGTATTCCATGTGGGGCCGAACTTGCGCTTTGTAAAGTTGCAAGCGATGTGCCGACATGAAATACCGTCTCGCTCTGCTGAGCACGCCAAGCTTTTTAGAGGCCAATTTGGCCTTCCCTTCCAAGTGACCACGAAACTGCACACTATTCGATATGTCGACGCCAAGGATTCCGATACTAGCTGAGGCAGCAAGGGGAGTGCCTTGAAACTGAGGAGATACGACAAAGGGGTTCTTTTTAGCGGTAATCGCGCAAACTTGTGTCTTCTGGGGATTGAACGGGACTAGATTTAGTCGGCCCTAATCCGAGACTTTGTTAAGCAAAGACTCGACTTCAGACACAAGTTTGTCCCGGTACTCAGCGACGTTTTCCCGAGAAATATTGGTACGGCCGGTATATAAGGCATCACCAGTGCTGTCGTCTGCATAGCAATGAATGCTACCAGTTAGCAACATATCATTGATATGCAGGAGAAACAGCGTTGGTGATAGCACGCAGCCTTGTGGAACACCAGCGTTGATAGGCTTGAAATAAGAGCATGCACCGTCTACTACGACCTTGATGCTCCGATCAGCAAGGAAACTGGTGATCCATTTGCACAATTTCTCGGGAAGCCCATAGGAAGGGAGCTTCGAAAGAAGCGCTTTGTGCCAGACCCGATCGAAGACCTTCGCTATGTCCAAACTAACGGCCAATGCCTCCCCCTTGGACTCTACTGCCTCCGCCCATCTATGAGTCAGATAGACTAGAAGATCACCAGCTTATCAACCTCGGCGAAAACCGTACTGGCGGTCAATAATCAGCTGGTGATCCTCAAGGTACCTCATGAGCTGGCAGTTTATAATGAATTCCATTATTTTGGAGAACATGGAGGTGATGGCAATAGGCCTATAGTACGACGGGTCTGAGCGGTCGCCTCTCTGTGCAGAAATGGAAGAGATGGCTGACAGAAGTTCCCTTGGACAGCCTTGGCGAGAGACCAGAATGCACGGGTTCCCAAAGGAAGGCGAACTAGCTTCTCGCCAATTCTGCCGATGTGCTCAGACTTTGCCTTGACAATGACGCTTTTGAAGGACCTGGAGACGGAATTATACTTCTTTTTAAGTGCGCTGGTGTTTACATCCCGAGACGTTAATGCGTCAGCCCAGGCCCGGTAGCACTTCTGCTTATAGCGTGATGCTATTTTACAGGAGCGACCAAACCATGGCTGGGATCTGCCTCTGATGGGCACCACAGAGGATGGAATAAAAAGTTCCATACGGAATCGGCAACAACGCTGGGATCTTCCGGCGAGAAGCAAACCCGCCCCCAAGGGTAGGATGCAAAAAAAGACCGCATCCCGTCCCAATCAGCTGACCTATAGTGCCAAACACGGCGGCGAGCTGCAGATCGCAACTGCGATTGGAGCGTGAGTGGCACCGTACTCCGGATCAGACAATGGTCCGAAGAGCCCAGAGGGGCATCGACGGAGACCTGATATCCGTCCGGATGAGAGGTCAGCAGAAGGTCCAACAGGGAAGGTACATGGTCTTCCACATCTGGGATCCGCGTAGGCGAAGTAACCAGTTGTGTTAGACCATATGCCAAAGCAAAGTCATAGACAGATCTACCCGCATGATCGGTTAAACGAGAACGAAGCCATTCAGCGTGGTGGGCGTTAAAATCACCGAGTATCAGGATCTCTGCGGATGGGATCTGTTGCAGCACGGAGTCTGCAGCCATTTGAACGTGGTCGATGAGTCGGTCTGTGTCGGCATTACCGCTATAGGACCTATAGAGGCACCCGTAGACGCGGGGACGGTCGTCGCTGTCTACGCGCAGCCATAGGATGGACAGGTCCGTACCTTCAAGACTGCCGAGGCGTCGAAAATAGATGTCCTCTCTGACGTATACGCAAACTCCAGCCCGGGGCACAAAGGAGTCTTCCAATTTGTACCCCGGGTAGGAGAGATATGAAGTATCAGCCGGAGAGGACACCTAAGTCTCGGTTAAAAAGAGCAAGGCCGGCTTCGCCGTCTCTAGATGGTAATGGACAGCGTTAAGGTTGGAATGAAGTCCCCTGATGTTGCAAAAATTCACGGATAGCGTGACAGGGGTCGCCTTGGTTGTATTGCTCCGCTTGCCCCGAGCAGCATTAGTCGCGAGCGGAATTTTGCCCCCCCCCCCCCCAATACGCGGGGCAGCCTGAGCACCCACGCTCAGGAGTGAAGTAGTTTGGTCGTGGATGCTCAGTGAGGGATTCTCCAGGGGTGCTGGTACCCTCTTGGGGTAGCCTTTTATTTAATTCCACTACCATGTTGATGGGGGGGGGGGATTTGGCCTCCGACCACCTGCACTCACCACGCGCAACGCAGAGGTAAACCTCTACTTCACGCTGGTATTCTGTGAGGTCGTGGTACCACCCCGGTTCGAGCTGGCCCATCCGTGCGACAGCAAAAGCTACCGCTTAGCTCTACCACTGTTAAAAAGTTAGTTTCGAGAATATTTCTAAATTTATAGGGTATGTGTTTATCCTGTAGAACACCGAACGTTTATATTTCGCGCTTGTGCTCAAGACTGCAAGCTTGTGTTTAATCAGATTAAATTTCTCTTACGAGTAGCACGCCTTTCTATTGAATCCAAAGCTGCTAGATAGAATTTTACAGCACTAGCCTATACAATTCTCCATACACGAACGGACTTGCGCTTTATATAAAGTTTATACGTGGTAGAGCCATGCTGCAGCTATATTAGTATTATAGTTGTAGCACAAATAGGTCGGCTCGACCGGGGAAGGACCACGCTCTCACAGAATACCAGCGTAAAATAGCAGCTTAACGCTGCTGTGTTTCGTATGGTGAGTGTAGAGAACAGGAGACCCTTGTTACTGGAAAGGAGGCATTCCATCTTAGTCTTCACGG